CTTGTTGCCAAAATGAACTCTATCCAGTGTTTTTGAGAGCGAGAAGCGCAATAAAGCGACAGGGGCTCGCCTCGCTTCAAAAGCGAAGCACACGCTTCATTGAAGTGAAGCGCAATTTTTTAGAAAACATAATGTAAACATTGCAAAGACACAATATAAATAATCCAAAAATTCAATTCAAAAACTTTGGGACATTTTTAAATCCCTATTAATATAAGAAAATACATAATCAAATAAACTGAAAATACATATAAAATTAATCAAATAAACTGAAAATATAACATATATATATAATAATTAATTTTATAAACTGAAATACACATTAAAAAATTCAAATAAACTGAAAATATAACATATCATATATATATAATAATTAATTTTATAAACTGAAAATGCATATAAAATTAACCAAAATAATTGAAAAATAACATATATATAATAATTAATTTTATAAACTGAAAATGCATATAAAATTAACCAAATAAACTGAAAATATAACATATATATAATAATTAATTTTATAAACTGAAATACCCATTAAAAAATCAAATAAACTGAAAATATAACACATATATATAATAATAATTAATTTTATAAACTGAAAATACATATAAAATTAATCAAATAAACTGAAAATATAACATATATATAATAATTAATTTTATAAACTGAAATACCCATTAAAAAATCAAATAAACTGAAAATATAACACATATATATAATAATAATTAATTTTATAAACTGAAAATACATATAAAATTAATCAAATAAACTGAAAATATAACATATATATATATAAATTAATTTTATAAACTGAAGTACATATAAAATTAATCATATAAACTGAAAATATAACATAATATATAGTAATAATTAATTTTAGAAACTGAAACACACATTAAANAATGTTGCCGGCACATAAAACATTTGTTAACAATTGGCATACCTCTTCTGTTAAGGTTGTCCTGTGTTAAACAAGATTCATTAAGGGCTATCCAGCTGAAGCAAATGATCTTTGGGGGAAGGCTTGTCTTCCAGAAATACTTCCAAGGCTATCTATCAATGATTTCATTAGTTGAGCATAAATGAGAGTACCCTGCTTTAACTGAGTAGAGGCCATCCATCCACTTAATATTGTCAGCAATGTTGTGGTTGACTGGGTATCCCTCTAATTTAGCCAGGAGACTCAACAACTGTGGAATTTCCCAGTCTTGGAAGTCCCTTCTGAATTGGATTTGCCAGCAATTGTCTTGCCAATTCCGAGAGATAGAGGAATCTTGATCATTAGCTATCTGGTAGAGGTCTAAGAATTCATTCATTAGGACAGTCCCTTGTAACCATCCATCCTTCCAAAACCTGATGTTGATGCCATTTCCTAACTTGAAAGAGGTATTCGTAGAGAATTCATTCCAAAGTTTCCTGATAAATTTCCAAGGCCCTACTCCATATGGTCTTCTTGACAGATCGGTGCACCAGTGGCTTTGAGATCCATGAATTGCAGTTACCACCTATTTCCATAGCGTATTCCCTTCTTGACAATATCTCCATAGCCACTTCATAAGCATGCACTTGTTATGCATGTTGAGGTCCCTGATACCTAGTCCACCAAGTTGCTTTGGCATGGTAACTTTTGACCATTTGACTAAGTGAAGTTTGTAACCCTTGCTGCCTCCTTCCCAGAGAAAGGTTCTTCTGATTTTATCAAACTGCTTGACTACCTTGTTCGGAATTGGAATCAGAGACATGAGATAAGTAGGAATACTATCCAATACACTATCATAGAAGGATATTGTCTCTGCCAAGAGGCTAACTTTGTTTCAAACTTCTCAATCACATCACTCCAAACTTCAGTTGATTTAACTTTGGCACCAAGTGGCAGTGTTTTTGAGAGCGAGAAGCGCAATAAAGCGACAGGGGCTCGCCTCGCTTCAAAAGCGAAGCGCAAAGCGAAGCGCAAAGCGAAGCGCACGCTTCATTGAAGTGAAGCGCAATTTTTAAAAAACATAATGTAAACATTACAAAGACACAATATAAATAATCCAAAAATTCAATTCAAAAACTTTGGGACATTTTTAAATCCCTATTAATATAAGAAAATACATAATCAAATAAACTGATAATACATATAAAATTAATCAAATAAACTGAAAATATAACATATATATAATAATTAATTTTATAAACTGAAATACACATTAAAAAATTCAAATAAACTGAAAATATAACATATCATATATATATATATATATAATAATTAATTTTATAAACTGAAAATGCATATAAAATTAACCAAATAAACTGAAAATATAACATATATATAATAATTAATTTTATAAACTGAAATACCCATTAAAAAATCAAATAAACTGAAAATATAACACATATATATAATAATAATTAATTTTATAAACTGAAAATACGTATAAAATTAATCAAATAAACTGAAAATATAACATATATATATAATTAATTTTATAAACTGAAGTACATATAAAATTAATCAAATAAACTGAAAATATAACATAATATATAGTAATAATTAATTTTAGAAACTGAAACACACATTAAACAAATCAAATAAACTGAAAATAATATATATATATATATATATATAAAATAATTAATTTTATAAACTAAAATACATATTAAAATTAATAAAGAAGAATAAAAGGGGGGAAAAACCAACGCCTGCCCTAGCGCAGACACTGGTCGAGAAAAGCTGAAAAAGAGGAGAGAGAAGAAGANGCTGCTAACGCTCAATTTTTTGGCAAGACAAAGAAGGTCTTTTCACTTTGGGGTCTGTTTTGTATAACAAAAAGAAAGACCCAAACTTTTTTCTTTTTCAAAATGGCCCCTGTTAACAAAAGCGAGCGCTTCTGCGCTTCTCGCTTCTGGGTCGCTTCTCGCTTTTTTGGCTGAAGCGATCGCTTCTGCTGGTCGTGTCGCTTCAGTAAGGAAAAAGCGACAGCTTCTCGCTTCGCCTCGCTTCGCGCTTAAAGCGACGAAGCGCTCGCTTTTCAAAACACTGACTTTATCATAATCATTTTGTCTTGTGCAACTAATCTTGGTTGGGACTTACAACACTTTGGTGTGAAGAACGCATTTCTTCATGGAGACTTAGAAGAAGAGGTGTATGTGGAGATCCCACCTGGATTTGATACCAAACAAAGTCAAGGAAAAGTGTGTAGATTGAAGAAAGCCTTGTATGGACTAAAGCAATCTCTTAGAGCTTGGTTTGAAGATTCTGCAAAGCAATGATCTCCTTTGGCTACCAACAAAGCAACGTTGATCACACCCTCTTCATAATACATCAAAAGGGTAAACTCACTCTTCTCATAGTTTATGTTGATGACATAGTAATGGCAGGAGATGACAAAGAGGAGATGACCCGATTGAAGAAGTTGTTTGCACAGGAATTTGAAATCAAAGATCTAGGAAAATTGCAGAACTTCTTGGGAATTGGGGTTGCTAGATCAAAAAGAGGAATCTTTATTTCTCAAAGGAAGTATATTTTGGATCTCTTGAAAGAAACTGGTATGACAGGTTACAAACCGATAGAACCACCCATTAAAAGTAATCACAAGTTACAAAGCGGAACTGGAATGTCAGTTGATAAGGAAAGATATCAAAGACTGGTTGGAAGATTCATTTATCTCTCCCATACTAGACTAGACATAGTCTATTCAGTCAGCCTGGTGAGTCAGTTCATGCATGACCCCCGAGATCCTCATATTTTGCGATATTTGAAGTCTGCTCCTAGAAAAGGTCCGCTGTTCTCCAAACATAGTCACCTCCAGATAGAAGCCTTTACAGATGCGGATTGGGTTGGATCTCTAGATGACAGAAGATCTACATTCGGTTATTGTACATTCGTAGGAGGAAACTTAGTTACTTGGAGAAGCAAGAAGCAAAGTGTGGTCGCTAGATCAAGTGCAGAGGCAGAATACAAAGCTATGGCCCAGGGTGTGTGAACTAAGCTACTAGAGGAATTGAGATTGTCTGAAAAAGGGAAACTTCCCTTGTATTGTGGTAACAAGGCTGCCATTAGTATAGCTCATAATCCAGTCCAGCATGACCGAACAAAGCATGTTGAATTGATCGACACTTCATCAAAGAAAAAGTTACAAGTGGTGTCTTGAGTTTGTTCTATGTGTCATCTGAAAAGCTATAAAAGCATGTATCGGTAGGATGTAAAATATATTGAAATACAAAGAAGCCATCTCTTTTTCTCAATTTCATCACTATAGAAACTCCACATCAGCACATTGCCATACCAATGTGGGACTCAAGTCCCATACCGTGCAATGGACCATAATAAACCACCACGCTCCGCATCTGTCGTCCCCGACGGCTGTGCGCTAGACTTTTCTAGCCCCGAGCGAACACTGCAATATCGACGTTACCATCCATGGCGCGGAGGGCGGTGGGTGGCTCTGATACCATTGATACAACCCAGGGACAACCACACCCAAAAGCTAGCTATTAAGGTGGGAGAGCCCAAGGCTATATAAACCCCACATCAGCACATTGCAATACCGATGTGGGACTCAAGTCCCATACCTTGCAATTGACCATAACAGAGTAACATTAGATGATTTTACTTAGACGAATATTTATGACACTGAATCTGCTTATTTTCTTAGCTTTTTGATTAACTGTTGTTCAATTATCAAATCTTCTTGATCTCTCAGCATTGATGTGTCTTCATAATCTCTACTTTGATATGCTCGTTCGTTTACACAGCATACCCAAAATTTGTGCTGCAGAGTTTCATCCGCTTATCTGCAGTCCATTTCTTTGATTTTTGAGAACATCTAATGGTCAATTTTACTTACTAACACCCCCCCCCC